TTTGATAAAAGTTTTTTTTACAAGGTTTATTGTAATTTAAAGATCAATAAAGTAATCGAATGTTTAACTTAATTACTTTTCCGAAATTAAATAAACTGTGAGCATGTAGCTAAATACCTTTAAAATATCTAAACAACTACATTATTTTTTTAGAATCCGTACCCTTAAGCTTATTGCGAAGTTCAGATAAAGCAAATAGTCGCCCACATTAGATTTATGGCAACAGTAGTTTGGGAATGCAATATTGTTTCAGAAAAATGTTGTCCTCATTATTTCGTGATTTATTGATAAGAGCGCGAATATTGAAACTGATTTTCCACTACATGTTTTGTTAACTTAAAAGTGGAAAGCATTTGAACAATTAAGTTTACAAAACATGTATAGTGTAAATCTAGTTCCAATAAAATTATAAGCCAAATTTATTTTATTTTGCTTCAAAACAATGTAAACTGTTTTTTCACCACACTCTGATGTTATTAGCTATTTTACACAAACGTTAATTGGTAGTGGAAGTGGCTACAAGAGAATACTAAAGACATTATTATATCTCAAATCCGACAAACTCCATCTTCGGTAGGGAATACTAGTCTTGCAGGATTTGTAGAAATCCCAAGTCAAGAACTAGTGCAATTAAAAGATAGGGTAATCAAGAGAGCACGCAGATTTAACTTGCTGCACCTCGTTCTATCACCTCAACTACACAAAATATTCCTGGTATCTCCTCAGTATCTCTTTGTAGTCAAGATAGAGGCCGACCTAATATTCCAAAGAAGGCTCGCGCAAGAGCTGCGATACTTTGGGGTACCTTACTCTGGTAAGGGAGCCAACAAAATGCCATATTGAATTTTGCAGGATAACACCCCCAGCATACCCAGAGATGTCAGGAGAAGAAGGAGGAGCCTCGAACGAAAAAACAAGTCTTGAGCCAAAGTGTAATGAGAGTAAAGCCAAAGACAAATCAAAAGAGGCAGATGAGGTACCTCAAAAAGAGCTCCAGAAGAAGAAGTCAGAGCGTAGGTCAAGGTCCAAAGAGAGGTCCTTGAATAGCCTAAAAATAACTAAAACAGAGATACATCTCCTCTTGACTCAAACAAAAAGTCCAAAGAGCACACACACCATGCAGAACGGTAAACAGGTGATCTTGGAGAGGTCCAAGATCACCCCTTGCAAAAGCAGACATAGGAGAAGATCACAGAGTGGGTCAAACAAGAAGGACGAGCCTTGAAACAATTACACGAATCTTGGCTTTTGCACTCGAGGAATTACCAGCACGACTATAATCGGCCGATGAACTCTCAGCAACTAAGAATCATGCTTGATGGATTAGCAGGTAGCATACAACAAACGAGATACGCCCAGAGGGCAATATCAGACAGAATTTCTCGTCTCGATGAAAAAGTTGGCCACATCCTGGAAACTCAAGATCGGATTATCAAAGACATGAAAAAGCTAAGTCTCTCCCCAAGGGATGCCAACCAGGTTCTATATGGAACAGATAGCAGAGACAGCTTGAAATGACGAGCTAGAAACTTCGCTTCTTCATTAAATAAGAGACATTAATGATATTTATTATATTGACACACCAGACAAATTCAAAAAGAATACTCAATATTTATATAAAAAAGGGACAAAGTCTCATCCTCGGGCCTAGGTACGAGATATACTATTTTAAACACACGGTATTATCTCTTTTATATTGTATTGACGATGCTCTTAGCATGCACACATGTTTGGGGGATAGCCTAGCTAAAAACGCACGTTTATAGAAAACATTTTGCTGTGAATACACTTTTTGACCTAGGATTTTGAATTTTTCAGGGCATTTTAAGCACAAATCTGGGCATATAATCATGTAAAATATTTTTAAAAATGTTGATGAGTTCGGGAGTTATGATAAAAAAATTAAATTTTATATTTGTAAAAACCTAGGTAACCATTTTACACATTGTGCTTTTTTGTATTTAATTTACACAAATAAATTTGGTATGGTTCTTTTCCTTATGCCTAGGGCTATAGCCTGAACTAAAAATATGTTAATATAATTGAAATTGGTTAGTTGGCTTAACATTTTAGATTTAAAAAAAAATATTTTATTTTATTTTTTGATAAATTTATATATTTTATTACTTAAACCATACCTACTGCTATAGTTCTAGTTCAGGTCATAGGTACTGATGGTATAAACATCCTGTAAAAATTTGGTAATGATATCTCAACTGGCTTAGAAGATATCATGTAAATAGTAAGAAAAAAACACTAGTTTCGGAAAATCGACGGACACTTGCCACAAGTCGCGGACAAGTATTGGACTAACAATGAAAAGGCATGTGCACTGATAAATGTTTTTGGTCATATCTCAACTAAAAAAATAGATATCTTTATAATTCTGGTACCAAACTGTTCAGAAAGAACTCACAAAATAAAAAAATATATTTTAAAAAAATTTAAAAATTTGAAATTTTTTGCTAGGCTAGCCCCCTTAACGAAAATAAAAGATTTTCATTTATACATTTAAAGTTTCATAATGTGTCTTAGCTGAATGAATGTTTTAGTTTTGGTTACAGGATAACAAGTTTTTGGATATTCATTACTCTGCATTCAGCAGATAATCTTCTAGTTAAGTAATATAACTGAATAATTAATTTTAATTAATTATTTTTAGATATTCAACTACAAAAACAATACAAACCAAGTCGTATTTTAACCTCAAATCCTAAAACATAATGAAAACTTAAGTAATCATATATTACCAAGCGTATTTTACGAAGTGGCACTGACAATAACACTATATCACACTGTAACACAAATACACTTTTACGAACACAAATACACGCGAGTAACAAACTAGAAGACGCGTACAAGTTCAGACAGAACCGTCCGCGACCACGACCGGTGTGCAACTGAGTCAGCCCAGCTGTTGTAACGATGACGTCACTAACATCTGATCTTTGCATTGTTGAACAGCTGACTCCGTTCACTCTCTTCACTGGGACCCCTCTTCTTCATGTCGTTGTGCCTTCTCATTTTAAGATTTAATGTTAATTAATCGTAGTTTTAAATTAATTTGTTTTAATAAATGACTGACCATCCCTTTTATTGTAAAATCAATGTTTCGTATTTATTAATTGAGGTTTTTTAGTTAAACATTTTACTTTATTACCTCTGTTTATAAAAATATATATTATTGGATCCGTAGTAAATTAATTTAAGGGAAATGTTAAAAATATACTTGCGTTTAAAATTTATGTATCGTAATGAAATCTGCGATTTATTGAAAGATGACAACACGATTAAAAGGGACGATATAAGAATCTGTACAAACAAGTGACTTAATAGCAACTACCTGAAATCTATACAGAATAATTTAAGTTTTCAATGTTCATGCACGGAATTTCTGTTTAAATGTTTATCAATCATGCCATTAAATCAGAAACCTTATATCTAAAATAAAAAAAATAAACTTACTTCTATGTTCTTTATTAATCTGTTTTTTACTCATTGGAAACAATTAAATTTGTTAGTGAACAACCGCCTAAAATTTTGCAGGTGTTCATAATGTAATCGTTATGAATTTTTGTGGTTTTTTAGAGGGGGAAAATGACTTATTCTGCATGGTGTGTGTGCTCTTTGGACTTTTTGTTTGAGTCAAGAGGAGATGTATCTCTGTTTTAGTTATTTTTAGTTTAGTTTTAGTGGCTTGGCCAATTGTAAAACAACCGAACGGCTTAATAAATCTAGAAGAAGAAGTTAACCCCAATGGACAGCAAAGTTTCAATGTAAACGGGCTGTAGTTATTCTTTTGAATTAATTTCAAATTAGAGAATATGTATACATAATTAATACGATAAGGGGTTTTCAAGCTTTTTCAACAATCATGTCATATAAAACAGATTTTTACAACTGACGTGTCATTTGAGAGCTTAAGATCCAGCGAAGGAACGAATATTAACTAGACAGGTAATTTCCTTTGGGTCTTCCCCATAGTATTTTATTTGGTTCTCAAGATCCAGCGCTGCTGACTAACTTGCTTCATAACAGGTTTTGATTGTAATTGTATTTTAACAGCTGATCTTTCAGTTGATTATTTATCTACAGGCAGATCGCAAACAAGATACGAAACAGTTTATGAAAATGGATTATTTTCATATAAAAATAATTATTAAATCTCGAGATTTAATTAAATAGGCTACTTTCAAGAAACATTTTCACCTGATCGAGGTAGGTAAACACTCTTTATGGCGTAGATGTAAAATAAACAAATTTAAATTATAGTAAATAAGTAGTTGTATTCGCCTAAATACTGTCTTGGTGAAACATATTTTTTTTTTAGTATTCCATTATACGTTTTGGTTCAGAAACATCTTTGAGCTCTGTTTAAGTGCACAATTTTCTCACGGTCCCCTAGTTTTGTTCACAAAGCTACATAATTGTCTGTGATTAAGCTTATATTAGGCTTACGTTTGGGAAATATTTTGAATAGTAATTTTGTATCCTAATTTGTTTAACGCTTTACAAATCATTTCGGAGATTAACGTATTGTGGAAAAATGCAGCTTTTCGAATAACTGGGGGCATTGAGAAAACATTAGTTCTAATTTACGTTTGACGTAGAAATAATAGCCAAATATTGACTGTAATATCTAAGACCCACTGCATATTTGTATTTGTTACAATAGTTTGGACACTATTTACAATCCTCAAAGGTAACGTAATGTGACCTTCAGTAATGAGTTGATAGGTATCACGACAAACTGTGGAACCTATGCAGCGATCGGGGTTCGAGTCCCGGTGAAACCGCATAAATGTATCAGTAAAGTTCATTCATGTACTGTGCCAAATTAACCTTTGTTTAATGTATAAGCTTAATATACAGACAATTTATGTGGACGGCCAAACACAATATGAAGGCTTATTAGGAAATAATAATATACTTGAACTCAAATAAATGTATAGTAGATAAAATCTTTATCATAAAAGGAAACCAAATATAAAGTTGAAAAACGTTGTGCAAAAACACTGAAAAATTAATTAAAACAAACATTACTTCTTGATTTGGTCCTTGGGTCCTCGAATGTCATCTATCTTCAGCACTACAGCAGCCAACTGAGTGGCCATGACTATCTGATGTTTCTTGGACTGCAGACCTTCCACAACTCCCTGGGTGAGCATGTCGTTGTCTCCGGTAGACATGCAGTCAACGCCTAGAGTCGGCTTGTGACAAACCTTCAACTCAGAGATGACTTCTAGAGGGTAGAGACCCGCATTCTCAGCGAGAGCGTACGGAATAGAGTCCAGAGCCTCTGCGAAGGCTTGGAAGATCAACTGTTCTAGAGTCGAGAAGGAGAGACTTTGCTGTTGAAGAGCGACGGAGCAGGATATTTCAGCGGCACCGCCACCACAGACTACAGCGGAATCTTTGATGAGGTTTCGCACGACGCAAATCGCATCTTGAAGACTCCTTTTGACCTCCTCCACAATCGGTTGGTTTGTCCCACAAACTTCAATAGTGACGATTTTTGACCTCCCGTTTTGCTCGAGAGCAAAAGACTTTACATTGTCTCTTGACTCCAAAACTCTGACTTGGTCAATTTTACCCAGCTTTTCACAACTTAATTCTTCAGCTTTCGAGACCACGTGGGCACCAACCAACGCAGCGACCATTTCAATATCTGCCACATTTTCAACGACGTGGATTCCGTTTTGCAACAGCAAACTATACAGGGTTTCCTCCATTTTGTTAGAGCACAAAAGGAACTGGGTCCCAGATTTATTCACAACCTCCACAACCTGTTTAGCCCACCAGTCTTTGACAAAGTCTTTCAAATCGTTGTAACTCGTCATGTCATCAACACTTACGTGATGTCTCGTGTGCACTTTAGGAAGCTGCAAGGCCGAACCCGGAAAAACTGCAACCTTTAAATCCATCAAAGTTTCTTTTATATCTGATCTTCCTTTAATGACAACCCCCCTTATCAGTCCACTGTCTTCAACGACTCCTCCAGCATTCCCTGTTAATACGATGGAGTTTACGTTCAAAACGGGATTCAAAACCCATAGGTCACAGGTTGATTTAAAGGCGGCAACGACTATTTCGGCAAGGTGGTCTCGAGATCTGCTGGCTATTTTGGAACTCAAGGCTGTTTTGGCGGCCCTCAACAGCCAAACAGTGTCCTCTCCACTGACAGAGACTCTGAAGGAAATTTGGTCTAAGTGAGCCAACGCAGCACGCGCTGCTATCTGGTAGCCTTCAGATATCCTCGTGGGATGAACACCTTTGTCCAGAAGGTACGCCGCCTCCTGAAGTAGAGCCCCAGCAAGAACGACGACCCCCGTGGTGCCGTCCCCTACCTCACGGTCCTGAGCTTTGGCTAGAGACACCATCAACTTGGCCACCTCATTCTCTGGGTCCATAAGTTCCAGAATTGTAGCTCCGTCGTTGGTGACAACACTCTCTCCTTCCGGGGTTACCTAGAAAGGTAAGAAGAAGGCTTACGAAAAGGTAAGAAGGCTTAAGAAAAAGATAGGAAGTCTTAGAAAGAAGTTAGAAGCAAGCAGAGGGGTCAGTGGAGGTTCGTACAAGGAGAAAATAAAAACACAAATTACCTAAGGTAGCATTTCCTTAGGTAAGAAAATAAGAATATACCACTAGCTGAACTATAGAGCTAATAAGGGTCTGAAATGGAGATGTCTGCACACACTGTCCAGTTGTCAAAATAATTTCTTTTCGGGGTACGCCATGTATGACATGTACTGTGCTCCATTTCAGACCCGTATGAACGAGTTTTAAGGTCCTTCTAATGACTTTCCCTGTAGCAGCAAATTAAGTACTCAGTAAACATGATTGGGTTGGGAATAAATGTGAAATCTTTTAGGAAATATTTTGGTGGAAACCAAATCAGGAAAATAAAACTTCATTTAGTCTACAGGTTTGCTTTCGTGGTAGTTCCTTTTATCTGACCATTTGGGAAATACTAGCTGAGAAAATCTAAAATTTGTCTCCTATTGCATGTGGAAAACGTGAGGAAAGCTTAAGAGATAAATTTTCGTGTAGCAAATATTCCCCTTAAATATTTCATGGACATTACTCATAATAAAGGACTACCGGGTATATAAATCACCTCAAAATAAATTATAAAATAGAATATAATAAAAAGTTTGCTCAAACTATTCTTTGAAAAAGAGAAAAGAATAAAACGTAGGCTACATCAGATTTCAGAAAAAAAACTACTCTTGTTCGTGCTTTCAAAAGCCGTGAGCAAGTTATCCAAACCGAGTTTCACTTAGTGGCTCTATTTTAGAAAATAACTCTACAATTTGATCTATGATATTTGTCATAGTTGTGAACGGGTGATAAACAGTAAATGACCAATCCATCCAGCCTTCTCAATAGTAATATAAGCTGGAATGCGAAACTCGTTGTGGGAAGTCCCAAGTCGTTAATTTTCGATGCACGAATTCCGCTGAGTTTGGAAAACTGCCCGCTTCAGCCCGGTGGGCCAAATCCAAACAGTTAATTTAGAAATGCCTAGTTCTCCAAATTATTACAACTGCAATGTTTCATTTACAAAAAAAAATTTGTTAAATTTATTGTACAAAGAGTTTTAATAAAGAAATGCATTCTCCATATCGGCTATTATTTATAAATCATTATTTGCCTAAGAGAGTTGGAAATCAAATTAAGCAAAATAATAAGTTATGAAGGGTAGTCTATGGCTTAGTCGATAGCACAAAGGACTGCGAAAACAAGGCAGCGATTCCTTGGGTTCGTGTCCAGGTCCTACTACTTAGACCCTGGGTCATATATTTAGAGACCCAGTCACAAATTAAAGCTAGTTTAAAAAAATATTTTTTTACCTCACCAGTATTTTCGTTATTGATATAGCTGACGTGACAAAAGATGCTGTCGTCCTATCGCTTTGAAATGGTTAAAAACTCAAATTGACAACTCTACTTTGCATGTTAGACAGAAATCATAAATTTTCATCAGCACAATCTGTTGGTGACTCACTTCAACTAAGTCCGGCGGCAACTTAAACATAGAGATGACTAGTTTTATCAATAGCCAAAGATTCCAAAGACTGTCCTTTGATGCTGATGTGTGACCAGTACAGTTCCTAGATAAAAAGGACTCCCAACACTTTACTTCATTTTAAACTTCTTAATATACCTTAAAACAAGTTTAAAATGATACATTTTACGTAAATGAACTGTTAAACCCACCAAAATCTTGTCCATTCCTTTAGGTCCTAGAGAGGTCCTGAGTTTGTCAGCTACACTCCTCGCTGCCAGGATATGGGACTTAATCGCCTCCATTCCTGTAAGTCTATCCTGCTTATCCTCATCCTGCAGGATGAGAAACGGCCTCCCATACTCGTCAAAACAGAAACATCCTGGAAAATAAGCCATGAGGGTCTTCTACGTTGGATACAGAAGACAAGAACTGAATACGAGTCTAGGGCTAACATCTACTAAACGTCAACGAGGAACCTGGCTGGAGCTCTTTTTGGACGAATTTATGTCTAGAATGGTGAGTCTTGCTACCTACCGGATCAAAAACTTCGGAAAATCTAAGAGTCGTATTGTCACCCATCCTTTCTCTATGCGGAGAAAGCCCTGGATGGACATGAAAGACGACAAATCTTTACTCATCCTCAAAGCTTTGCCTATTTATTGTCCACAAAGTAGGTCCTTCATATGTGTAAGTAAAAAGGGTGTCATCTGGCTTGAAGAAAAACCATTTGCCTATAACTAATGGATCTTTTAGCATTGCAACAGTTTTTTTGTAGTGACTAGTCTATGCGGAGAAAGCCCTGGATGGACATGAAAGACGACAAATCTTTACTCATCCTCAAAGCTTTGCCTATTTATTGTCCACAAAGTAGGTCCTTCATATGTGTAAGTAAAAAGGGTGTCATCTGGCTTGAAGAAAAACCATTTGCCTATAACTAATGGATCTTTTAGCATTGCAACAGTTTTTTTGTAGTGACTAGTCCAAGGGCTAACAAAGATACGGTTGTCTCACTCGTAATTTATTGTTCACAAAAGATATACTGTAAGATTTTCGTTAATTAAAGACAAATAATCATTGTATAGTTTTGAGGGTAACAAAATGCCACGTGTTGGGTCTACATAATTCTGTAGAACGAATTTAGGCAGAACATTTTGTTTGTAAATTGTTCTAAAATTAGTTTCCATCTCCAAACCAAGGGTTGAAAAGGGCTCCAACAATTTGATACAATTTTAACAGAAGATGAAATTTAACGAAGATATTGGCTTTAGTGCCCATAATTTGCTACAAAAATTTCAAAATTCGCGTGCAAACCCTAAAATGCATATTTACCAATATTGTTCAAGGTTATATAACGAGCTTAATATACATTTAAGGTGAACTTACCAGTTTTGGCTTCCATCGTAAGCAAACACGTATAGTTTAGAACACAATGTAACAATTCCAATGTTTACTAATGGATAAATGTAAACAAAACGTTCATATCTGTAAAATGATGAATATAAAATCATCTGTTGTATAGTAGAAAATATCATCAGAAAGAAATCAAGTTCATTGATTATGAAACCATTTTCTTATTCTTCTCTCTAAAGTCTTGATACACGTTAGAGTAGTTTAACTTTCGTTAAAACTGTTCAAGTTATGTTTTGTATAATATACACGTCGGAAGAAAGCTTGGTCGTCCAACAAATAAAGTTGAAAATTACTGTTTTTTATTCCTGAGATTAAATTGATCAAATTAATCATTAATAAATGTTGATGATTGGATGTTATGATGAGGAAACGGATAAAATAAATCGTTAAATTTTCGGATATTTTAATGTTTAAGTTAAATATTAAGATTCAATATTTATTTATTAGTAGTTTTATAATTTTTTATAAAACAGTAAAAATTACGCACAAGTTATATATTCTCTAGAAAGGCTCATTATGGTTAATCCTAACCTAGTTTTTCTATTGCTTAACCTAATACCGAAACCCTACCCAGGCTGACGCTAACCGAAACCCCCGGTCTGTGAGACCCCATTTGAAAATAATGGGACCCCGCTTTCCGCTTAGAAACATACCAACCAAAACGCTGGGATTCTGAGACGGGCATTTTATGAATAGGCCTATGTAGACAACTTTCAAGGTATGGGCACCCATGTACACAAAATGAACAAACAATATATATCAACAGGAAGGGGATGAAAATGGGGGAAGGTATTGGGGCAATGAAATCCCCCAAGTAAACAGTGCTGCCAACATGCGTTTGTGAAAATTCCCGTGGGTCTGTCAGACCGGGGTTTCGGTATTAGTGTTAAGGTACCTTAGGTTTTTAAGGTTTATCTGTTTTATGAAATTGTAAGGTTAGTGTTGAATGTACGAGTAAAACAAAATTCACTCATTTGAAAAAAAAACAGTACGAACCCTTCTATTCTTCTTTGCAGGGCGAATTTCGTAAGGTACCAAGAATTGATTTTAGACATACTGTTGATCTTACAATGATGAACTCAAACCTATTTCCTGTCAAAACAATCCCAAGGAATAATGTAATCACATTTTTTTCAATAAAGGATGTACTAAAACTAAAGTTTCACTAGTTCGAATCTCACAGTTGTCAAACACAAACACATGTCATAATATGCATAATTTCAAAACTTTTCCTAATACAAACATTTTGGTGGAATATATTTTTGACCCTTTTTATTCGTTTAAAAATGGTGACTCTTTATGTGAAACTTTGGCACTATTTTAAAACTCTGTATTTTTGACAAAACCATTTTCTATCTCTATTCTGATTTTTTTTTATATTCCTTATGAGCTCAGCTTTTTATATGCGACATGACAATAATACGACAAAAACGTCAATAAAAATATATTTTTGAAAGATATTACATAGCCAAAACTTATAAACTTCAAATAGCCAAACGTATGTAAAATTTCATATCATTTTAAACATATTGGGATTCCAAGCAACTTTTAAATATAAAAAATTATTCGTATTTCTTTTAACTTCTGAGTTATCAACTGAACACAAGTTGTCCTGGTAGAAAATGCATGTTAAGTCTTAAAACTATGTCACCAGGCCCAATAAGATACGATTCTTATAATCGGCCCAATAACCTACAATTTTTAAGGTGACTACCATAACTTATACACGCAGAGGCGATAGATGATACCAGAATAGCAAACGACCAATTTCCAAAATCAATTAGCCAAAAGGCTAATTAGTATAAAAGTTAAGATAGGGTCAAAGCGTTAGCATCAGTTTTACGAGCAAGGTGGGTCGGGGCGAGATCCTAATTGTTTTGTATAATTAACTACCCAATTAACTCTAGATTACTTTAGGGAACTCTTGAGTCTTGGAATTATTAAATTTATAAAACCAAACTGAATTGTTAATTGGTACAAAAGTTTTATACATTTAAATAATACTGTAAAATCTTTAAAATTTGTTAGGTTGGTATTGATGAAAGAAAAATTATATGTTGCATAGATTAGAAAATAATGCTTGATACTAAAGCTATATTTTGTTAGTAAAATGTATGATAAGTATATTTTAAGAAACACACTTTGCTTCAAGACCTGTCCCTAAAAAAACCCACACATTGCTCGTAGTAAAAGATGAATATGTAAAACACAATACAGTATATTGAACAACCACATCGATCATAAACAAATATAAGAAGGGGGAAATGCGTTGCAACCATATTGAGGAATGTTCCTTAGCCTTTCAATGATAAATGAAATGTTACTATTATTCTTTCCATCTTTTGCTTGCTTGACAAGGACGGGACTATTATACATCGATGCAAGGATGTTTAGGCCTTCTTTCAACAAGAAGATAAGATCAGCGTTATTTCAACATGTTCTAACAGTTCAGAACATGTTCCAAAAATAATAGGGTATTCTCAGTAATCTAGCACCAGGGTACCAAATGTACCAAGTGCCAACACATCAGAAATAGTATAATATTATGTTAGGGTGTCCCAGAACTCTCTACCAATATTTTAGGGCATTGCTCCTGGGTAAGAAACATATCTAAATATCATATTTAAATTGTCCGGAAGTCCTTAGTTACTCACACAGCCGCCATTTTGTTTTTTTAAGTTATTAATTTTTTTCTAAAGAATGGTTAAACATACGAAATTGAAACTTTGCACAAACATTTATAACAACTATACAAAGCTACCGAACAATTATGACGAATTTTCTAATTCATAAATCAAAACGGCGGCCATTTTAAGTTTTGTTTCTTAAATAACTCGAAAACCGTCGATTTTACAAAAAACTTTATAGATAACTTTATTAAGGAAATTTTATAACAAATCGATTGACAACTTAATTATAAAGATTGGATGAGTATTAACTGAGATATGGTAGCTTTAGTGATACTTGACCGCTGGAGGTTAGTTGCAGCGCATGCTGAAAGCGGTCACGTATCACTAACTTAATACCGTTGTTGCTCAGAAATTCTCTGAATTCCCCACTAGCAAAATTGGGACCATTATCACTGACCAATTCTTCCGGTAGGCCAAAAGACGCAAACAGCGTACGCAGTTTTTCAATGGTTTTAAACGATGTAGTAGATTTCATGATAAACACTTCTAGCCATTTGCTAAAACTATCAACAACTATGAGCATTTGTTGTCTTGTTAGTGGGTCTTCCGCATAATCCACGTGGATGCGCTGCCACCTACTTGAAGCTCTAGGCCACTGACATAATGGCACCTTAGCCACAGCATTCCTTGTACACTGACACACATGACATGAGAGAACAGTCTCTTCAATGGTTTTATCAATCCCCGGCCACCAAACAAAGCTTCGGGCTAACATTTTCATCCTATTTATTCCGGGATGCTGATCATGCAGCAATTGGATAACGGCACTCCTCAGATTCTCTGGCACCACTACTCGACTACCCCATAAAACACACTGGTTCTCTACGGACAACTCATCCCTTCTTCGAAAATAAGCAACCAGCTCAGAATCTTGACTATCACGCCATCCATGCCAAATGAAATCTCTGACCTTTGTCAAAACAGGATCAGTATCAGTAAGTCGAGCGATATCCTTAGCAGTAATAGGATTGAGATCACTCACCAATTTGAAACAGTCGTAGGCCTCTACCAGGGAAGAAACATGAGAGATGTAGTTGGTTTTATGCACCGCGACAGTCGCGTGTCGCGTGTCGCGGCGCGACTCAAGTTCTATTGAGTTAAATGGGAGCATTTATGCACCGCGACAGCGACAAACTGCCGCGGAGCGACTCTAAATACCCGCGACAGGTTTTAGAATCGCAGCTTCAAAAAATGTGTCGCGCGCGGTTCAAGTTCTATTGGATCAAATGGACACGTTTATGCACCGCGACAGTCGCGGCGCGACAGTAGTATTTTTCAT